CCCTGAAACCCCGAAACCCTGAACCCAGATCTGGCGGACGATGTTCATGGCTTTGAGTCTCCGGCATCGCATCAGCCCATCTCTGTGCCTTGGTGCTACGGGATTAGGGTTTTAGGGTTTAGGGTTTTAGGGTTTAGGGTTTTAGGGGTTAGGTTTGGGGTTTTAGGGGTTGGGTTTGGGGTTTAGGGGTTTAGGGGTTTAGGTTTTAGGGTTTAGGGTTGAGGGTTTAGGGCTACAGTATGCCTCAAAAAGTTGGAAATCGGATTATCGGACGAACGGTGCTGGGATTTCCTATACACCACTCTTAAAGGATTAGCATAGGGATTCCTTTTAGGTTCCTTGAAAGGGTTCCTTGAAGGGTTCTTCAATAGCTTAAGGATTCCTGGAAGGGTTTCTTTAAGGGTTCCTGCAAGGGATCCTGGATCCATTAAGGGTTGCATTATAAGGAATCTATTAATTCGAGGGTGCTTTTAAGGGTTCCCGAAAGGGTTCTGACACGGGCTTCATGATGGTTCTGTACGGGTTTTAAAGCGAGATGAAGCCAGGGCTCCAGGTTCAGGGTTCGATATGGAGGGCCTGTGTTTGGAATAGGGTCTTGGGATGCATTCATCGTACCGTGCAGCTATACATGGGCCACAAGACTTATAATCAAACATGTCCCTTGTAGGGTGCCGTGTTACTATTGCATTCTAGACAGTGTAGGAAGTCGAGGTCTTAGCACAGCTTTCAGAAGAAATGCAGGGTTGTAGTGCCTGCCGGCAACTAGTGTAAGTTGGACTTGGACCAGACTGCACTCAGCTATTCATATGTCTGTGGCAATCTTCATCATCACCTTCACCATGATTGCCACCACCATCTCGTTCTGCACTATGCTGTGGAACGAGGCATGAGCGCCTTATTCCAGAATTTTCAAGCACCCCTCTGCAGTATCTTGTATACAGGCATGCTCGCACCCCAGACATGAAAGCTGGTGACAGTGCATCAACCTCAAACATCCTTCTGCAGTATGTTGCATCAATTGACACAATGCGGTGTATGCCCGCATTTTGGGCATGGCCTTCGTCAGGTCCGGTGTCATTACCCCCCCCCTCACCCTCGCCATCCCCCAACCCACTCCAACCCCATAAAAAATCCGAAATGTCTTGAACATGCAAGGAAACTTAGCAAAGTAAGAGAGGGCTCTAACCCCCAAACCTTGAAAGGAACTTGTCATTGGAACATGTCTAAACCCTAAACACTAAACCTTAAAGCACCTAAAAGTTGGGCTTTCCGTGAGTTCGCCGTGGGGGGCACAGAAAAGACAGCCGCAGAGGGGACATTTATAGGTTTACGTTTGTTTGTTTATGGCTCTTGTAGCTGCGTGATTTTTTGGTAGGGGCTGTTCATGGTTTTTTGCACAGGATTCTGTGGTGCGTTTGTCGTCTCGTTCTGTAGGTTTTTCACTTGGGAATTGGCTGTGGATGCTTCGAGAAGGTGTTTACAAGGTTTCCCATACTGCCTGTACAGGGGTTTCTATAGGGGGTCTGAATGACCAAAATTAGAACTTTAATGAGGTGCCTGATTTTGTAGAGGGGCTGTATGAGGATTCAACAATCAAGGTTTGCGGGGATTTAAGATCAACGATGGGGTTTTAAGAAGCTGACAGGGGCGCAGGGATCTGTAAGGGATCCAAAAAGGATCGATAAGCTTGAGCAATCCGAAGATGGTCTTGGGGGGCATGATTATCGCATTGTTATTTAGGGGCAAAAAGCGGATTCAGATGATATTGTCATTTAATGTTTTGGGCACCTTTATCGTCGATGACGGGATTCCCGTGACGCCAAAACCCCAAACCCCAAACCCAAAGCCCCAAACCCAAACCCCAAACCCCAAACCCCAAACCCCAAAGCCCAAACCCAAAGCCCCAAACCCCAAACCGCAAACCCAAAGCCCCAAACCCCAAACCCCAAACCCAAAGCCCCAAACCCCAAACCCCAAACCCCGAACCCAAAGCCCCAAACCTAAACCCCTAAACCCCAAACCCCAAACCCGAAGCCCTCAGCCCCAAACCCCAAACCCCAAAACCCCAAAACCCCAAACCCCAAACCCCAAACCCTAAGCCCCAAGCCCTAAACCCCGAACCCGAAACCCCAAGCCCAAAACCCGTAACCCCAAACCCGAAAGCCCGAAACCCATAAAAGCCAAACCCTACACCCATAAACCCTAAACCCTAAACCCTAAACCCCTAAACTCTAAACCCCTAAGCCCTAAACCTTAAACCCCTAAACCCTAAATCCCTACACCCATAAACCTCTAAACCCCTAACCCCTAAACC